ATAATCTTCATTAAACATTATGTACAATCAAATATACATTTTTTTATATATAACGTTACGTAAGACATCTGCATTAAAAATTGTTTTTCCCTTTTCCATTCTTAAAACAAAAAGTATAAATCATAAAAAGCAATGCTAAATGATAATTTTAACTTAAAAAGGGATTCACATAATCTTATACAGGGTTTGTCAAAAGTGTGGAAACCCCTAAATAATTTTTGTAAAAATGAAAATATCAAAAAACGGTAGAACACGTATTTTGATTTATCAAAAAAGCTACCCTATGACATGATTAAACAAGTGTGAATGTGTACATAGTGGTGATAGGTTGCAGAACAGACGATTGAAAACTATTATCTCTCTTTAATGATTCAAAACTTTTTACTCCGTGTTTTAAAATAAATTTTACTCAGTGTGTTAAAGTAAATGCTGAAAGTGGCTGCCATTTACTTTCTGACAATATGCCAATCTTTGATAGAATGCAGAAATGGCTCTATGATTCGTCTCAAAAGGTATCAAATCTATTTCATCCCTTATTCGCTGTATCAATTCGTGGATGCTTTCAGGTTTTGTTTTGTAAACCTTACTCTTCAGGTATCACCATAGATAATAATCAACAGGAGTTAGATCTGGTGACCGAGGTGGCCTATCCTCTCCTCCTTCATTTCTGTTCCTTCTTCCTATCCATCGTAATGGAAAAGTCTCATTTAAAGTTTGACGTGGCCGTAAACCAAAATGAGCAGAAGCTCCATCATGCTGAAACCATATTTCTTCGAAATTATTTGGAAAAATATTTCGTATGGCTGGAATTATTTGATCTACAAGTAATCTCTCATATCTTTGAGCGTCCAGATTTTCTTCAAAAAAAATCGGCCCTATTAAGTAGCCGTCTATTATTCCACACCATACATTAATTTTTTGTGGATATTGTGTGTGAGTTTCCCGCACCCAATTCGGATTCTCATCTGACCAGAAACGAAAATTTTGATTATTAACTTCTCTCGTTAACGTGAAAGTTGCCTCGTCTGTAAAAACAATTTGATAAGAGAAGATGGGCCGGACATCTATTAGTGCCATCATTCTTTCACAAAAACCTATACGACGCTCCAGATCTCCGTCTTGCAATTCTTGAACATACTGTAATTTGTATGGATAGAACTTGTTTTTCTTTAAAATTTTTCAAACGGACTTGGGAGCAATATCGTGAATTTGAGCGGCTCTGTTAATAGTAGGATTGGGATCTTCAATAAATGTCTGCATAATATCAAGTTGTTTTTCTTCGTTAGTGGCAGACGATGATCTCCCTGATTTAGGGCGATTTTTTACGCTACCAGTTTCTCTAAAACGTTCTATTGTTTTTAAGACAGTGGACTTATTAATTCGACGATTCGGATACGTCTCATTAAATAATCGAGCGACAGCAGCGTACGATCGCTCGTTGTCACCCCATCCACGCATCATGAGGATAGTGATTCTTTCACGTTCCGACAATTCGCCAGCCATTTTTAAAACATTTAATTTTTAATCTGCCTAAAATCTGTGAAAACAACTGATTTTGAGTAGCCGTGAGAACAACTGATTTTGAGTAACCGTGAGAACAACTGATTTTGAGTAACCGTGAGAACAACTGATTTTGAGTAACCGTGAGAACAACTGATTTTGAGTAACCGTGAGAACAACTGATTTTGAGTAACCGTGAGAACAACTGATTTTGAGTAACCGTGAGAACAACTGATTTTGAGTAACCGTGAGAACAACTGATTTTGAGTAGTCGTGAGAACAACCGATTTTGAGTAGCCGTGAGAACAACTGATTTTGAGTAGTCGTGAGAACAACCGATTTTGAGTAGCCGTGAGAACAACTGATTTTGAGTAGCCGTGAGAACAACTGATTTTGAGTAGCCGTGAGAACAACTGATTTTGAGTAGCCGTGAGAACAACTGATTTTGAGTAGCCGTGAGAACAACTGATTTTGAGTAGCCGTGAGAACAACTGATTTTGAGTAGCCGTGAGAACAACTGATTTTGAGTAGCCGTGAGAACAACTGATTTTGAGTAGTCGTGAGAACAAC